CTCGGTGGCCCCCACCCCCGGCTCCCCTGCACCTTCACGCGATGCCCGTTTCCCGCACATCTTCACTTCTGGATGGTGAATCCTTGTTCAGAGTTTCCATCTCTTCTGCTTTTCTCTTCCTACGCTGCCTCCGACAGTGGCTTGAGAGGAGAGGGGAAAAAAATCGTGACAAACAAACAAACAAACAAACAAGAAGCAGAAAGGGGCCTGGCAGTGATGCTCCCCTCTCTCCCTCGGCTTTTACCCTGCAGAAGATCCATATGGGATCGCAGCTGCCTTCCGGCCCCAAAGGAATGTCCCAGGCACCTCCCAACACGTGCAGGACCAGCCTGGCACAGCCCCAGCTCTACCGGCCTGGAGCCAGCGGAGCTGGGCAGGGTTTGTTCCCTCCTCCCTTGCCCTTCCCGGCCCTTTCCATCACGTACTGACTGCACAGGCAGATGCCGACGATGAGGATGATGAGGGTGACGATGGCGGCGATCAGGGAGATGATGACGATCTGGCCCTGGTCCCCTCGCAGGTAGAACAGATCCACCCTCTCGCAGCGAGCCCCGGTGTAGCCTCTCTCGCACCTGCCCCGGGGCACAGGGGAGGCACGGGCCGGTCCCAAAAGCTGCCGAGGTGCCCCTCTGGCGCTGCTCTCCCGGGCACAGCATCCCTCCCCGTAGCTCCGTGTCCCCGCGGGGGTGACTTACACACAAGCCGGTGCCTGCTCGGCCACGAGGAAGCGGCACCTCCCCCTGACACAGTAGTGCTGGAACTCCTCCGGGCACCGGGAGAAGTGGCTCTGCCGCCGCAGCTGCGTCCCGTTCCCTGCGGGCGACAAGGACGAAGAACACCCCCAGAGGGGTGACGCTTTTGCCCGGAGGCAGCAGCGTCCCTGAGCCGCTGCATCCCCGCAGCAGCTCCTGAACCAGCCCTGGGATGCCGCTACTCTGGACACCTGGAACGCCTGCTCCCCCTCTCCTTTCTAAGACCCGCGGCTCTCCCCCAGCCCCCTGGCACCACCCTCTTACCTGTGCATGCCTTGGCTGTGCCGCAGCTCAGCCCCTCCGTGCCCTGGCCGGCAGTGATGTTGCTGTCGGCGCTCACGCAGCTGAAGAACGCCAAGCCTGGAAGGCAGCGGGGGCAGCTCGGAGGGGGAGCCCCAGCACCCCCGCACCGCCACAGGGAGGGCGCCGGCCACGGGCCCTGCAGCTGCGCCCACGGCCCCCCTCGGCTGGAGGCATCAGCTTTTCCCCCAGGGCCGGGGGAAGGGACAGTGGCGGTCCCCGCCTGTCGCCTCCACCCGCCAGCGCCCCAGCGCGGGGGTCTGGGAGGCAGCCTGGTGGGGTTTGGACCGCACAGCACAGGCAGCTGCTCCTCTGGCCAGGGAGGATGCGGGGAGGGATCCCCAGGGAGATCCGGGATCATGGAATCACTGATGGGTTTGGGCTGGAAGAGACTGTCAAGTTCGTCTTGTTCCAACCCTGCTGCCATGGGCAGGGACACCTTCCA